TTCCCTGGCAAGCACACACACCCTATGGCAAAAACAACAGCAACAACAAAATAAAAATAAATAAATAAAAAGAACTCTTCATATTATAGGTCTATATTATAAAAATTAAAGTAAATTTATGTGAGTGCTGTAGAATACTTTTATATTATTTTTTTTTTTTGAGAGGTTTTTGCTATAGGGCGCGTGCGCTCGCCAGACAGAGACAGAGAGACAGAAAGCGAGAAATCACCCTCCAGGGAGGATGGCCATGCCGCAATCCCTTCTCCTCTGTTCTCCTCTCAGGATCTTGGGTATGCATGCACATGCGCCCAGCATGAGTTTTAAGCCACCGGGTCCGGGACACGAACCGTGGTCAACTACATGGGAGTCCAGCGACATAGCCATTACGCTAACTGCTGGTCCCAAGAATACTTTTATATTAAATACCAATTTTTAAATTTTTCAAGAATTATTTTATTTAATTTTACTTATTATTATTTGTTTTATTTTGACCAAAGAAAGACAGAGAAAGAGAGAGAGAGAAGAGAAAGTGAGAAAGCAAGCTGCCAGGTCCAAAACTTGAACTGTGGTCAGCCATGTGAGAGTCCAGTGTCTTTAACCACCACACCACGTGCCAGTCCCCAATTTTTATTTTTTAAAAGAATTATTTTATTCAGTTTCATTTATTATTATTATTTTTCATTTGACTAGAAAGACAGGGAGAGAGAGAGGGAAAGTGAGAAAGTAAGTCACCAGGTCCAGGACTCAATCCATGGTCAGCCATGTAGGAGTCTAGCACCTTAAAAATGCCACCTATTGCCCTCCCCCCACACCGCTTTTTAGAGATTTTTGCTATAGGACGTGTATGCTCACCAGAGACAGACAGAGAGACAAAAAGTGAGAAATCACCTCCCAGGGGGATGGCAACGCCGCAATCCCTTCTCCTCCATTTTCCTCTCTGGATCTTGGGCATGCATGTACATGCACCTGGCGTGAGTTTAAGGCACTGGGTCTGGGACTCGAACCATGGTCGACTACATGGGAGTCCAGTGACATAACTGTTATGCCATCTGCTGGTCCTTTAGCTCTCAATTTTTAAATAATATTGGGTCCTCAGAAAAGTCATGATGCATTTGTGCATAGAAAAACACAGAAAAATACTTAACTTTTCCGGAGACCTAATATATTAGTATAAACACTTTTTGGTTTTTTTTTTTTTTTTTTGAGAGTTTTTTTTTGCTATAGGGCATGTACGCTCACCAGAAAGGCAGAGAGAGACAGAGAGATAGAAAGCGAGAAATCACCAGCCAAAGGGGATGGCCACGCCACAATTCCCTCCTCTATTCTCCTTTTGGGATCTTGGGTGGGCACGCAGGCGCACACGCCCGGTCCAGGACTTGAACCCTGGTCGTTCATGGGAATCCAGCGACATAGTCATTACGCCAACTGCTGGTCCCTCCAAAACGGATCTTGAACTGGCCATGTCCTATAACTTCTCTCCACAGCGACCACCCTATTCCAGGCCACCATCCTGCTCACCTGCATTACTGAAATGGCCACCTACCTATCTGATTGCTTCCCCTTTCTCTCTCGGCTTCAGACCAATTCCTCACAGAATAGCCACAGCAGTGTTCTTGAAGTGTAAGTCAGAACACATTACTCCCCAGTTTAAAGTCTTTCATAGGCTTCTTATTGTGCTGAGATTCCTCACCTATAGCTTCCCTGCTGCTTTGCTACTTGTCCAATCTTACCCTGATGCACTTCCGGCCACCCAGGCCTTTCAGTTCCTGAGGTCGTGCTGCCTCTGCTTGGAACGCACTCCTCTCCCTCTGCATGGTTGGGCTCTTACCTTCCTTTGCATCTGGATTTGAATGTGCCTCCTTAGAGAAGCCCCTCTCCAATCATGCTACCTGAAAAGGTGCCCACGGGATCCACTAAGTCAGAAAGCGCCGCCTGCTTCCTTCACAGCCCTGATTTCATTTTGTAATTACCTAATTATTTTGCTTGTTTACTTGTTCATTCTTTCACTGGCTCCATGAGGGCAACCAGCTCCTCACAGAGTAAATATCTGAATGGATAAATAACTAAATGAATAAAGAAACAACAATACTATATTGCTTCAAAGAAGGTAAATTATTAATTTCTCCTGAGTGAAGTAAAGGAATTAAACTCTGATTCTGTGAAAGATAATCTGCTTTAGGAGACCAAGCAAATTAACCTGAATGAGGAGGAAAAAATGTTATATTTTCCTTAGGAGTTTAAAGAACATTTCTCCAAATATTTGGGTTTTCTGAGACACTATGTTACCTAAGAAATTGCAAATGTAAACTTCATTCCAAACTAAACAGGAAATCAGCTGATAGCCAGCCTAGTTAACAGAATACCAAACAAATGGATAAAGAGATGAGGAATACCATGGCCCAACAACTGACTGCTTTATTAACCTGGCTTTAAACAAGAAACTGTGTATAATTATTTTAATTTTCCAGAGGGCACAGATGCTCACCAGAGAAAGCACTCCCCACGGAGGTGGACATGCCACAATGCCTTCTATCCATCCGTCCTCAAGATTTTGGGCACAGACACACTCATATACCTAGCATGGTTTTCAAACTACAGAGTTGGGGACTTGAACCATGCATGTGGCCAAGTGGTATCCAGCTGCCTTAAACACCAGGTCATGGGCTGGCCTGAGATCAGAATTTTAGAATATTGTTTGACTAATTCCAGGGAGAACCCCAGCACTCACCCTCAGGATGGACTGTACTGTCTGCATGGGATAGGTGGCTGTAGTGGCAATTGCTTTGGCTATGGCACCAATGATGAACACATCCAAAGAAGAAAGCTGGGAAACAAAGATACACTCAATCACATGAATCCAAACAACAAGGAAGTACCAGAAATGATTATTTGACTGTTTTCAAATTAGGAATTACCTTCATCCGTTTTTTTAAAAGCTGCCGTTTTAAACCTTCATAGAACATGAACTGGATGGCAGGATTGAAAACCAACAGTAAAGAGGGAAAAGTGCCATTCCATAAAGCCAAGATTCCTTCATCTCGAATGATCTGGTGAAAAGCATCTAAGCAAAAAAATGAGAGACTGTTGAAAATCATAAAGACAATCTCCTATCTAGAGAAGGCAATGCAAATTCTGCCCAAATGTATCCAGAACACAAACCCGCTGGTTTTATAAAGATTTCCTTTCAATAGGAGATTCATCAGCTTATTTTCTGATGATAATCAGATACTGACCAAGTTACTGAGACCAACTTTAATCACAGGCAACCCTTCTGACAATTTGGGTTAGAATGTCCAATTTTCCTATGTAATTATCACTACCAGAAACCCTGTAGTATAGAGAATTGCAAACTGACAGTCTGCATATTTCACAATAAAGTCCACTACAACAAAATGTAAGATCCTTTCTTAGAGTCTATTGTATAGGATTTGACTTATTGTATAGGATTTGAAAACCACCCTTCTCATTACAAAGACAGATGCATGGAAAAGAGAACTTGGAACGTGGTACTGTTAAAAACCAGAAACTCAGTCCAGCCAGATAGTGGTGGTGAAGGCAGCTGGATCCCACATGGCCAACTGGGTGGTTCAAGTCCTGGGCAAGGTGGCTTGAAGAACACACTAGACACATGTGTGTACATGCTCAAAATCCCATGAGAATGGAAGAGAAGGAAATGCAGTGTGGTCAAGCCCCCTGGGATTCCTTTCTCACCTTCTCTCTTTTTTTCTCTCTCTCTCTCTTTGGTGAGTGTACGTGCCCTAGAGCAAAGTAAAAAAACAAAAACAGGCTCAATGATATCAGATACTAATCTGGTATCCTTATCCAGACAACTCCAGATAAAAAAAGTTCAGCAGATTATTTTTAAAAATATTCACTCCTTGGGGCCAGCAGGTAGTGTGGTAGTTAAGGTGGTAGACTCCTACATGGCTGACCACCGAGTCCTGGACCTGGAGGCTTGCTTTCTTGCTCTCTCTTTCTGATGGGCACACGTATCCTATAGCAAATTTTAAAAAAATTATAATAAAAAATATTCACTCCTCCTCTTCTACTCATCAGGAACAGTATACTTCTCTATTCCTTGTCTTGGGCTTGGGATGTTACACTCTGCCCATTAGGGTACCAATAGACAAGATGTTAAGACTGGGTATGTTCTCTTGTGTTTTTCTTATCACTGTGAGAAGCATACATTCACAGGCTGGTCCCAGAAAGAGAATGAGAGACACACGGAATCCAGACACTCAGGCACAGGTTGGCCTAGAGGAGTCTAAACTCTTGTCACTGACATGAGAACTACACAGGTTCTTACAGGTGGGAGCTGAGACTTCAGGCTGCATGTTATTTAACTTTATCATGACAGTAGATTCCAGATACAAACAGGAAAGAAAACCCTGAAATCAGAAGTTGGCCAAAAGATACTTACCAATAATTCCTTTGTAGTTGGTAGGTACAATGTCTTCATTCCTGAATTTTGCCCCTTGCAGCTTCAGTCTGGTGTTCACCACCCAGAGTGGAGTTGTTAGCAACACATTCACCACACCTTTAAAGAGAGAGGAGACACAAAGGGAAAGCAAAATAAACCTTTTAAGCTCTGCTGTCTTCCATTCACATCCACTGATACCTTTGCCACTGACCTCGGGTAAGGTGTCTCTCTGTGCAAGAATACAACACAAGCCACTACTGTTAGAAGCAATTTGGAAGCCTTGCTGATAGCAAAATGGTGGGCAGTGGCATCTCATGTGGAGGTTCCTCAACTGTATGAGTTTTCAAAAAGTTTATGGAAAATACATTTTAGAAAAAAAACTACAGCTAGATTTCAAAAAAAAGTTTTGTACCAAAATAAACATACTTGAATTCCAATTTTCCATGAACTTATTGAAGTCTCCTCATATACAGGGGGCAATCTATTTGTCAATTTATAGAGCATTCAAAGTAGTAATTTTGATGTAGCTTTAAATACATTTTAAATAACAGCTTTAGAAAGGGGGAAGTGGGTTACTGATAACATGCTAAGTCCATGACAGTATCAGATAAAACACACAACTTTCATCTCTCACACAAGTAGCCTGCATGGTTTTAAGCGGCTACAGATCTGGTACCGAGGGTGACAGATGAAATAAAGTGGTGACATTTCAAAGTGCTTCAACAGGGACTAGAAGTTCACAGAAGAGTTCCTCGTTGCTTAGAGAATTAGGAGAAGCAGGCAGCAAGCAGCAGTTATGAAGTGTCACAAAACACCTGAAACAGCTTCACAAGCATTATGATCCTTACAAGCTTAAGGATGGGGATCTTGGCCCCAGTGTTGCCTCAGAGTGGAACAATACAAGGAGCCAGGTGCTTCTATTTTGAAAACACATGATCCCAATTTACCACCATCTTGAAATATTAAAATAGTCCTCATTAGTCCTGAAATAATTAAAGAAAACACCAGGTAGACTTGAAACAAAGTGCCTGACACATGGCATATACTTCATAAACATTTGCTAAGTAAATATTGAACAAATGAACCAATGAACAAACTCAACAAACAAGTATATATCCAGCCTCCTGATTCTAGTCATGTTCTGAAGAACCAAGAGAAACAATTGTAAGGAAGGGAAACCTTATAGTAAAAAAAAGTCATTTAAACAGAACTGATTTAAAGATTCTGAAAACATATTATAGAGAAAACACATTCTAAGCAAAGATAAACGTGAAACAAGCAGGAAATTCAATTTTTTCATTTGTTGTCTACATTTACAAAAGTAAGATACTTTCCTACTTATTTCTTGGGAGCATTATGGGGACACAATTCTCAAAAAAAGATATTATCAAATAATTTTATGAGTTGTATTTCTTCGATTTTTGCAGGTTAATGTAGCACCAAGGAGTTGCCTTTAGTTACGACTTACTATGTTCATACATAGTCACTTAGGTATCGATCATAATCTCAAAAGACCTTGCCTACAGACTCTTGCTAGTCTCATTTATGAAAAGCACCAGCACCCCACTGAGCAAGATAGAAGGGTATCAATCAATACATGTCCATTTACCCAGACTTCAGATGTACGAATTACTCAACTTCACTTAGAGAAAAATCAGACAAGAAAGTGCACTTTTAAGACAAAAAGGAAGACGGGAACACTCCAACCCACTGAGTATAATAAGCTTCTAGGACTCTGCAGAAAAGCACTGCTGTCCATTAAAAAGATCTTTAGAAACCCAAATTTCCTTCATGTTCTGTTCAAGAGGTGCATACAAACAAAACACTTATGAGGGAGTGCAGTCAAGATTAACATTTAACCATTATTTAAAATTCTGCTTTTTGTATCACCATTAGTAACACAAGTATAAAAGACTGAAAGGATTTTAAGGACAACCTCAAGTATAAAAGTGCACAACATTATTTAAGTAAGAGAATATAAAGTCCTTGTAAGAACACTTTGTATTTCAATGCTTTTTATCTAAAAAGTTCAAGTACTTTTTTCATCCTCTAAATGAAAATAGCCAAAATAGATGGAGAAGTATTTTAAAGTCATTATAATTTCATGAATTCTGGAAAAAGACACTAAAAATACTTGAGATTTCAAAACTTTACTGAAATCTGCAACCTATATAATTAAGCAGAGGACAGAGTAAGAGAGAGAGAAAGTGAGAAAGGAGGCCACCAGGTCCGGGACTTGAACCATGGTCAGCCATGCGGGAGTCCAACATTCTCAACCACCACACCATCTGTTGGCCCCCAATGAAGCTCATTTCTACAGTGATTATAATACAACAGACCATCAATGCTCCTTTCCTAGTAACTTTTCTAATAAAATAATTTAGATTTCAAATGGACATTTATATTGTTCAGTTGTATAGCCCCCAAATTAGTAATTTCTCAGAGAATATGAAGAAGTAATTCTACAAGGGCCAGTCTCATAGTTTCATGGTTAAGGGAGCAGGATCCCACATGGCTGACCATGGTTTCAGTCTTGGTCCCAGAGGTTTGAAAGGCGAGTACATGTGCAAGTGTGTCTGAGATCCCAACAGGATGGAGAAATAGTGAAGGGATTTTGGTGGGACCACGCCTCATCAGAAGGGTGCTTTGACACTTTCCCTCCCTTTCTCTTTCTGACAAATGTGCATGTCTTCTGGCAATTAAAAAAAAAAAGTAATTCTACAAAATATTAACACTAAATGTGCAATATTTAAATCAATTAACTCAACTACAAACTGAAATGGATAGACACATACACACACACACACACAAAAAAAAAAAAAACAGGAAAAAGATCTACTTTCTTTCTATCCTTTAATAAGATCCTGAATATTTAATTCAATGAATATTTTGTTCATTCAGTAAGTATTTGTTGAGCACTTACTATATGCCTGGCACCATTCTAATTGGGCATATAACAGTGTGGGGATATGTTTATATATAAATATATCTGCTCTTATGGAGTTCACATTCACCAAATGAAGACAGGTAATAATTAAACATTTATAATATCAGGTTAACATCTCCCTGGAGTTTCTAAAGTCTCAGATGTCAAGAATCTAAAATCCTCTGATATCTGGCTCCTACTCACCTTATCACTGATGTTCCTATTCTGGACTTCACTCACTGTTCTAGGCACGATCTTGCGTTTTCTTAATTTTCTTCCATTCCTTCTATCAGAAACTATCCCCAATTTACCTGCAAATACTATTAATCCTGCCAAGGCTCAGTCCAAGAGCCACTGCTTTCTAAAAGTACATACTTCCCAGCTGAAAGGGACCTCTCGTTCTTCCATGAACCCCTAAAGCATTAACATGTAATGCTGACTTACATACTCCCACTGTGCAGTGTGTTATGCACTACCGCATCTCTGTCACATTTGACTAAAAGCTCTCACAATCAGGGTGAGTGTCATGGATATGCACCCTCGGTTGTGTTTGGCTTAATGCTCTGGTGTCATTTTCTTGAAATGTTCAGTAAATTCTAAACAAGGGGCCCTGCATTATCATTGTGCATTGGGTCCTGCACATTATGTCCTATTCATGTTAAATATCTCACATAAACCTCAGTAAAAACATTATGGAAAATAAGCAGAGAGGATATTGTAATTCTTGTTTTCACAAAAGAAATTTTAACATCTATAAATTCTGGGAGTGAGCTCCTAAATGAAAAATGGATCTTCTTTACATTAAAAAGATAAATACAGGGGCTGTGGAAAATGGATCTTCTTTACATTAAAAAGATAAATACAGGGGCTGGCAGGCAGCATGGTGAAGGCACTAGACTCCCACATGGCTGACTGTGGTTTGAGTCCTGGACCTGGTGGCTCGCTTCCTCACTTTAAAATGATCTTTGACAAGACTGCCAAGACCACTCAATGGGAAAAGGACAGTCTCTTTAATAAACAGTGCTGGAAAAACTGGATACCAACATGCAGAAGAATGAAGTCTGAAAGAAAAAACAAAATGGGGACCAGCAGGTGGTGTAATGGTTATGTCACTGGACTCCCACATAGTTGACCACAATTTAAGTCCCTGACCCAGCAGCTTCAAATTCATGCCAGGTGCGTGTGCATGTATGCCCATCCTGAGAGGAGAATGAAGAAAGGATTGTGGTGTGGCCATCCCCCCTGGGAGGTTGATTTCTCACTTTCTGTCTGTCAGTCTCTCCAGCAAGTGCATGCACACTATAGCAAAAATCTCTCTCTAAATAAAAAGAACAATTTTTCTCTTTTTCTCTCCCCGCACAGATCATGTCTGTGATCCCAAGATGTGAAGCTATCTCCCCACCAGCAAGTAAGCAATCACCTCTGCAGTACACACGAGCTAGCATCCTCTAATCTAATTCACTTCTGATGCTATCTACTTGGAGATAGTCAGGTCCTATAGGTTAAGGGTTCAGTTCCACAAGACTGTCCCCACTCAGATACCAGCGACAAGTAGAGGCCTCTGGAACTTATGACTACTGACCAGCAACAAGTGGAGGTTCCCACAACCCCTTTCTCGGGTTCAATTAATTTGCCAGAGTAGCTTACAGAATTCAGGAAGATACTTATTTATGTTTATTGATTTATTATAAAAAATATTTTAAAGGATATAAATAAACAGCCAGATGACAAGACATACAAGGTGAGGTCAGGAAGGGCCCCCACTGCGAGAGTTCCCTGTGGAGTTTTGTACATAACCCTCCCAGCACACGGAAGAGTCCTTCCAGCATATGCCCACATGTTCAATGGTCCAGAAGTTCTCCAAATTCTGTCCCTCTGAACTTTAATGGAGACTTCAATGCATAGGCATGATGGATGTCTGGATAACTGTGCGGGACTGTGACTGGGCAAAGAGAGTGTGAGCTAACGTTAACAGACTGAGTAGGGGAAACCCAGCATGGCCTATCTATTCGAATTCTTCGTGGCCTTTCTGTGAAGCATTCCTTCCCTCTGGGTATAGTGCAGAACCCTCTTCAACAGTCTGAATTTCTTTAAGACCAGTTCTAAGCTGCTGGGTCAGGGAAGGGTATAATTATGATTTCTCCTGCTGGTCTGCCTTGAAGAGTTTCAGGAACCAAGGTCAAAAGTCCAA